AAAAAAACATCAAAATCTAACAAAAAGACTAATACATTCTAAAAGAATAATGTTGCTAAGAGGCGTCGTTCAAATTTCGTGGTCCGTTCTTCAAGCATCAGCTTCTGTAGAAACAAATACAATGAATAAGAAAATATTTATACTCTATTCCAACATAATTGGAATTCGTGATTCCATTATGATAGAATTGGAATTCATTTACCAATAATTATATTCATTCGGGGGATTCTAACATAATATGTTCATGATTATCATAAAAAACATTCTTTTCTGATAGAATGCTATAAACGAAGAAATACCATTCAGTTGAAGCATTTTAGCGAGCACTTGGTGTGCATGAAAACAACTTTCAATTCAGTTGAAGCATTCATCTGTCAAATAAGCAACCAAAACAACCATGATTTGTGTTCAACCAATCAAACCCAAAACCTTCAAATCAACTAAAACCATGGTGGGAAATTTTGTGTAACCCTCAACATGATTGATCTGCTTAGAAACACATACATCTCTAAAGAGTAGTAAAAAATCAATAAATCAAAAGAATAGTAATATACGATTATAGGCATTCCTCAATAGCTACATGATACAAATGAAGAAGTAATGCATATATATATAACCTTCAAAGCCCAACTGACACCGATCCATGTAGTGTGACAATACCTATCAACTTGTTGTCTTCATCGATTACAGGCAAGAACTGAACAGGGGATGAAGGAGCCTCCATCTTCTTCATTGCTTCAACAGCCATTCTTTCTGCACTTATGGTTCTTGGGTTCCTATAATCACAACACATTTCTAATCTTTATCAAAAAAAGATCCAATTTTCAAGTTCTAAAACGTAGATTTCATCCTCTTTTTCACAAATTCAAAGTTATTAAAGATCAATGTTACCTGTTGCACATTTCACCAACAGTAAGTTTAAAGATCCCCTATTTGCTAGCTTTGAGTGTACGCCTAAGATCACCTGCAACATGAAATCAAATCAACAGATCGATACATACATTAATCAATGATCGAATGAAATTGAGAAAAAGGAACCCCGATTCTGAATTCTAACCTTAATTATTTCAAGTTCTTCATAACATCCCTCACCTGCAACATGAAATCAAATCAACAGATCGATACATACATTAATCAATGATCGAATGAAATTGAGAAAAAGGAACCCCGATTCTGAATTCTAACCTTAATTATTTCTTCAGACTTACCCTCTTCGTGTCCTATTTCTTCAGACATACCTCAAATCCGAAATCAAAGGTTAGATCTTGATTCGCTATGAGATGGGTCTCGGAATCGAGCATGTGTTTGGTGGCTCTTATCGGAAAACTCATCAAAACCCACGGATGCAACAAGGGACTTCACATTGAATGATTGTTTAAGACAGAAAGATCTGGCTGGTTTCATCTTCGGAAAAGAGTGCACGTGCAAGGAGTTGAAGGCATCACCACCGCTCGAAGAGAAGCTCGGAGACTGACGGAGTACAACGCCAACGACCTCCATTGATATTACTACTACTACTAATCAATGATCGAATGAAATTAAGAAAAAGGAACCCCGATGGTATTGATGCGATGATGGATACGGTGAAATAAGGGTATAGGGGTGAACGAAGGTTTTGTAGGGATGGTAACTAAATTTCCATTAAGATGATGGTGTGGTTATCGGCGATGAAGATGATGGTGGTGCTCAGCAACCGGAAAAACAGGAATATGGTGGTGGTCGTCTGGTAAATTTTGTGGGTCGATGTTTCTATACGGTGGAATCGGTGGAACGAGGAGTTTTGAAAGTGACGATGAAGTGCAACCCCACAAAGGGTCGCTGGTGTCGATTTGTTCAACTTAGGGTTTTCAGAATCGGTTTTTAGATAAAGAGGGGAACGAGATTTAAACGGGAGAGATACCTGATTATAGGGATTATTTTTGGAAGTTATTAAACAAATGACTAAATTATCCTTATTTATTTATTTAATTATTTAATTTTTTATTTAATTTTGATTGGCCCACATTTATGCATACAATAACACAATAATTAGTTTAAACACCTGAACCTATAAATCATCTTACTTTTAATTCATATAATTATTTATTTTGTTTGGTTTATATATATATATATATATATATATATATATATATAGAGAGAGAGAGAGAGAGATAAATTTCTTACGTTTCATCGAAATTTTCTTGTTTATTTTTATTTGACGATGGTTCATTTATATCAAATCATTTATCAAAGGGTAAACCACATAAAAACCCTATCTATTATCTGTCAATGTTTAAGAAAACCCTTACATTATTTTTTAGTACATTTTAACCATTTTATTTTTTTAAAAATCGCCCAACTTCATTCACTTATCAGGTAACCCTAAGTTACCGGTTCTTATAAACCTACGTGGCTTAACCCTTTCTTTTAACCTTCAACCCCGTTCTTTTAATCTTCTAGACTTGATGCTTTAACGAAACTTTAACCAACATCTACAACTTCAACTTCAATTGTTGAAGTTTGAGTTGGTTTGGAGTGTTTGGAAGGAAGATATGAAATTACCTTAAATATCATCTGATGATGAATAGAGCCCAACCTGAAATATCATCTGACGATGAACGGAGCCCTTCGGATGAAGACTTTGACAAAGGAGAGGACGTGGATCATGAAATTAGAGTCCAATTCCTTGTATACAACCCTAAGATACCTACTATAAAATGGATATGGTTAAAGTAGATAGAGAATTTCTAGAAAAATTTTAAAATGTTGAGGAAGAACTCTATGTGGCTGCAATGGAAAAGGGAGTAGGTGAACCTCTGATGCAATTTCATAAATCTTAATTTGATGGAGGAATGCTTGTAACTCAAGATAAAAGAGTGCCTGAAACTCAATTTGAAGGCGTCCCTGAAACATAATATGATGGTGAAAATGATAAGAATAAATTTATTTATACATATGTTATGTTTGTGATAAATCTAATACTTTCATAACTTTTGTAGTTATTTTGGAAGATCAATATCATGTGGTTGATGGTGGGATAGCAATTGGTGTATCTATTATCAGTACAAAGCTCAAACCAAGAAATCCATATGAGAGGATTATATAAAACAAGCTCAAGAAACCGGTTATTGCTAAGGATGGAGGTGGTTCTACGAACTAACAACCTGTTAATTCATAATAGTAGATTTATGAGCTAGAATGGGACAAAACATTATGGGATTTTGTGATGATTTTTTGATAGTTGGAAATTAGTATTCCTACTCTTTTGTTAGTGAAATGTATAAGCAATGTCCATTTAAATTAAATATGTTTGTTGTTTTGTTAATCAGATGGTATTTTCTAGAACGCCACTTTAATAGAAGTGCATTGCTAATTTTCACCATTAGGACCAGATAGCAAAACAACCCCACTTTACCATGCTAAAACAGTCTTTAAATAGAAGTATGTTGCTATAAATTACTTTAAAAATTTTCATTTTCCACTAATATGACTTGATTGCAAAACAGCCACACTTAAATGGAAGTTTGTTGCTATAAATTACTCTAGAATTCTTCAATTTCACCTTTATGATCTGATGCCAAAAACAATCCAGGTTACAGTTTTTACCCTGATAAAATGGTCTCATTAAAGACGGTCGTATAAATGAGTAGTAGTGTTGAAATTTTGATGAGTCTATCTTTAGTTCATTAGTGGTTAATATCATGTAATTCTACTTGACTTTTTGTTTTTGGTTGTTGTCTGGTATGCTAAAGACCAAAACCATCACCAAGGGCAGAATCGTCAAATGCTTACAACCATAAACAAAGCAGCAAAAGGGGTACAAAGTTACTAAAAACAACTCCTGTTGGTTGGGGTTTCGGAAGTTCATGGCCTAAATTGGTATTATATATATATATATATATATATATATATATATATATATATATATATATATATATATAAACTCATGTGGGTATTCTTCTGTTTTGTGTGTTTGCTTCGAATCAGATGGAGGGAAGGGAATAGTAGTGATCATCATCATGATTCTCTACTCAATCACTCATTTCATATTCGAACCTCAAATTGATAGTTTGTTAATTGCATCATGTAAGAAACTTTATTAATTGTATCAGGTAAGAAACTTTATTAATCTGGTGAGAAACTTTATTAATCTTTCTTATAATTTCTTGAAATTGCATAATGTAAGAAAATTTCTTAATCTGGTTGTTGTTTTGGTATGCTAAAGACCCAAACCATCACCAAGGGCAAAACCATCAAATGCATAAAACTCATTGATTCCTTCTTCTTCCTCAATCAACGATTCTTTAATACACCCAAAATAGATGGAGATACTTAACTTGCCCAATCAACGATTCCGTGAAAGCATTCTTGCCACCTGGTCCATCCAGCGACAACTTAACTTTGGAGACGAGAAACCACTGGATGAGAGAGAATACGTACGATTCCGAGGAGAGCGCAAACTAGAATTATGATTTCATTGATTCCTTTTTCTTCCTCAATCAACGATTTCGTGAACCCATGACCTTTGTGGCGAAGGATGGCAGAGATCCGACGTAAACAAGATCGCAACACGAACTCAAAAGAAGAAGCAGAAGAACAAAATTGCAGCTTTTGAAGAAGAAGATGAATGAGACACACCCTTTTAACTTCAATTAAAACCACATCATCTATCTAAGGCCATATCAACTAATTTAAAGTCATGTCATCTATTTACATCCATGTCATCGGTGTTACCGGTTACAAAGTATGAAAACAAGAAAAGTAAGAAAGAATAATGGTTAAAGTATACTAAAAAATAACATAAGGTTTCTTTTAGAAATTTACTTAGGGTTTTTGTGTGATTTCCTTTATCAAATGAAACAACTATTATGAATCGAAATAAACCACCCCCACTAACGCACTATTTTTAGTGTCAAACTCTGTGGACCCACAAACATTTTTATATAACTAGAAAAAAACCACCTGCAATCGCACTGTTCCAAAAAGCTACAAATTTTGTTCTTTCTCAAACCACATCCCTCATGGCAGCCATAAAACAATCCGATATAGTGGTGGTCATCGTCCCTTTTCCGGCACAAGGTCATCTCAACCAGCTCCTCCACCTCTCCCGCCTCATCGCCGCCTACAACATCCCAATCCACGTCATCACCACCACCACTCACGCCCGCCAAGCCAAGACCCGCATCCATGGCGCCTGGGATTCACTTTCAATCGACACCATCCACTTCCATGACTATCCAACTCCGCACTTCCCCTCGCCTCCACCTGACCCCACCACCGCCATCAAATTCCCCTCCCACCTCATCCCATCTTTCAAATCCGCCATGCATCTCCGACAACCCTTTGTCGACCTGCTTTCGACCTTATCGCCGGCGTCAAAACGAGTCGTCGTCATTTACGACTATCTCATGGGACCAGTTGTTCAAGACGTTGGTTCTTATCCTAACGCCGAGGCCTATATGTTCTCTTGCTGCTCCGCTTTTGCTTCTTTTTGGTATCACCAGGAAGCCACCGGCCGGCCACCTCTCGACGGCGAACTCGAATCGATAAAGAAAGAACTCCCTTCTGATGAAGATTGTTACTCAACAGATGGTTTACAGTTCATTCTCTCCACAGATGTTTCTTACAAGAAATTTACATCTGGTACGATTCTCGATGCTTGTAGGGTTATCGAAGGGAAATACATCGATCTACTCGAACAAGAAGAGAATGAAGATCACCAAAAGCTGTGGGCCCTTGGCCCATTCAATCCAGTTGCCATAACTCACGATTCAAGTCACAAACGACATAAACTATTCGATTGGCTCGAGAAACAAAAACCCAACTCAGTTCTATATGTTTCGTTTGGGACGACTACTTCCATCAGCAATGAGCAAATCCAAGAGATCGCTTTGGGTTTAGAAAAAAGTGAACAAAGATTCATCTGGGTGTTGAGAGACGCTGATAAAGGCGACATCTTTGATGAAGGGGAAGTTAGAAAGATCGAACTTCCAAAAGGGTTCGTTGAGAATGGGTTGGTGGTGGGGGACTGGGTACCACAGTCAGAGATCTTGGCCCACCCGTCCACCGGAGGTTTTATGAGCCACTGTGGGTGGAACTCGAGCATGGAAAGCATCACCATGGGTGTGCCAATGGCGGCATGGCCGATGCATTCTGATCAGCCACGAAATGCTATGCTTATAACTAGAGTGTTGAATACTGGAATGTACGTCAGGGATTGGACAGAAAGGAAGGAGTTGGTGAGTTCGATGGTGGTTGAAGGGGTGGTTAGGAGATTGATGGCATCTGATGAAGGGGAGGAGATGCGGAAAAGGGCGGCTGAGCTAGGTGATAGGGTGCGGCGATCGGTGGTGGATGGTGGCGTTACGCGGATGGATTTGGATGCATTTGTCGCTCATGTTACAAGATAGAGACTGCTTGTGTTTTGGAATATGGAATTTGGTGATAATTTAATTTAATATAATATAATGTTCTAATATTGATAGACAATTCCATGATAATTTACGGAGAAAATTGATTTTGGTCTCAATTTTCAGAGCTTGTTTTAAGTCATGTTTTTTTTTTTTTTTTTGGTTTGGGGGGGGGGGGGGGGGGGGGGGGGTTTGTTAGTTGGGTTTGAATTCATTACCATTCGCCCATTTTTATTTACTTTTAAATTATCAATTTAGAAAAAAATAAATTTAATTTAAAACCCAATGTTTCATTAGATAACGAAACGTAAACTCGCTTTTCATACCCATTTTGATAACAAAATTACGTACGATTTTCTTTATTCCCAATAAAATATTAAGTTGCTTTCCTTTTGCTGACTGCTTTTAGTAGTAAAAAAGCAAAATTGGAAGGTAAAAATATCGCCATCCGTGGGACTCGAACCCACGACCACGTGGTTAAAAGCCACGCGCTCTACCAACTGAGCTAGAACGGCTACATGGACTTCCAAACCTTAAAAACCTTGATATAGCTATGATTAAAGAAAAAGGAAGAAGAAAACTTCAAATGTGATTTTTATGGATTGAAATATGTTTAAATGTTTGTAAAAAATAAATGGATAATAAAGGTAATATATTTTTTGATTTGTACACATTTGATCATTGAGTTTTTTTTTTCTGTCCATATATACCCCTTCAACTTGTTAAACTGTACACATTCGCTACTCCAGGTTAACCCGTAAAAATGACTTAATAGGGTAATATATTTCTTACTTTGTACATATTTAGTCCTTAATATATATATATATATATATATATATTATATATATATATATATATATATATATATATATATATTAAGGACTAAATGTTTACAAAAATAATTAAGGACTAAATATGTATAAAATGAGAAAAATATTATCCTATTAAGTCATTTTTTCCGACTAACATGAAATCATAATGATTGAATGTATACAGTTTAACAAGTTGAAGGGGTAAATGTGGATGAAGAAAAAATCTTAGTGACCAAATATATACAATTCAAAAAAAATATATTACCCTTTTAAGTCATTATCCCAAAAATAAATTTAGGTTTGTTAACGAATTTGGTCCTTTTAATTAAGAATAGTTTAATTCGTAACGTTAACTTGTCTAGTTTAATAAAGACAATTTTTTCTTTTCCGACCCTCGCTCGTTCACCTTTTTTTCTACTATCATCAAACTCTAAAATAAAATCTTAACCCAAAACAATGATACCTTACAATTATATTTTGAGATTTTCTAATAATGACAAATATAAGAAGTATTAATTATAAAAAATATTACTATAATTAAATACGAAATACATTTATCATGGAGATTATTAATACAATTCACATTTAATTATGGTAATATTTTTTATAATTAATGCATTTCATATTTAGTTATGGTTATATTTTTCAATTAATTATTTTTATATATTCCCTTAAGACACCTTATATGTTTCCTTAGGACACACGTTAGAAAATCTCTTTTATTTTATCTCTTTTATTAATATTGTTGACAATATGGATCATTAGGCCACTATATCAATTGCTTGATGCAAAGAGGTTATGGTAAGTTGGTCTGCTTCCATGAACAATCTTTTTGTAGGTATTACACATTGCAACATGAAAAATGCAAATTTTTTATATATACTTTCTTTCTTATTTTGTTTTCTTGTAAAGGTGTATTCGAAATTAAACGGAACTTTGTTTCTTGACACTGTTCTTGACGTTGTTGATTTACTCAACAAAATATTTAGCGCGAGGTTATTGAATTCATGGTTCAAAGACTGCATAAGATCCTTTATTGTGGAACATGTGTTGTTGTCTTATCCTATCTTAGTAGGCTTTGGTGGTTGTTAGTTGAGTTCAAAGATACGAACAAGGAGGTTATTGGGAATTTGTTTTGAACAACCAAATTTTATAGAAACCAAAGTTAGTAAACCGCTCACAAACGTTACAAAGGAGTAGATAGAATAGGATTCTGTAACCAAACATCCCTACTAGAACTTATTTTATGTTTCTATACACAAACAAATTATAAGAATAATCAACCAAACTGTCGACTGAGTAATTCCTTCTTATGTTATGCTCACCGAAAATAATGGTGTTCCAAATTAACCATCACATCTTCATTATTATTGCCTACAAATCCATACGTCTAGTAGAAGACAAATGAATGAAAATGATCCAAGCCACCACCTATTTGACCAATGAAAACACAAGTGTCATAATGTCACATCACTTACTAACAAAATTCTACAATTCTTCCACGACTTTGCTAGTAATAACCAGGTGATTAATGTCTTCCATATTTGAGTTAATGACTGTCACGACCAAAGAAAACATTGATAATTAATGTCTTCAATATTTGAGTTACAAACACCACAAATCATCGTCGGAGTATTAATACATTTAGCATCCAAATTCATATGAGTTTGTAATTTTTTTAGAAGACAACGACCAATAGAAAATGTTCACCTTGCGTGGAGGGTAATTATTTCACCTAGTAGAAAAAAACGTCATCAGGAAGAGAGTTATCATTGATGAGTTTTATAGCCTCTAATACCATGAATTGGTTACTACCACCTGCATCTCATAACCCACTATCATTTTGGAATCAAAGAAAGAGGAATAATTCAATACACCATGCAATTATTGTAAGTGAGCAAACAGTGTTCCACCTTGAATCGCTCGTCTCCAATCCCAAGTTGAAAATCACCATCTTATCTCTGGTTAATATGACAATCTTGTTGCATGTCTAACATATAAAGGCGGTGAAAATACACCATCAAAGGATATTCTCCAATTCAATGGTCTTTCCAAAAAGAAGTAGCGACGTCATCACCAACCTTTCTTTGAAAAACATCCCGAGAAACTAGAGCATCACCATTCAACTGATTTATGGCATCAATAATTTTCTCTCAAACACCACTGGTCAAAACCGAGGCCTCATTCCAACTAAGACCTCCATCATGACCCTGAAAACTTTTTTATCATCCTACATCATAAAGCTTTAGAGTTTTTTAGGAAGCGTCACTTCCATTTAAGAAATAACGATTTGTTAAATGCCTCCAAAAAACCAACATCCAAACCACCTTTCTCTTTACTCGTCGGAACGAACTCCCATTTCACCCAATGTAACACTAGTACACAAGTCATTTAATAGTGCGGGTGATTTTTATTTTTTGATGCGGTCCCTTCAAAAAACCGACTTATTAAATACCTACAGCATCAAAAAATAAAAGAATCGCACCATAAAATAGCTTTGTTAGTGCAGTTTCCCAAAATCGCACAATTAAAACATTTTTTGATGCGCTTTCCCGAAACCGCACCAAAAAATCATGTGGAAACCGCCCTAAAAAACAATTACAACCGCATTAAAAATAATTCGCACTAAAAAACATTGAACCGCACCAAAAAACAATTCGCACTAAAAAATATTGAACCGTACCATTAATCTTTCCTCTAAAAATTTCATTCGAATATTTCATTTCGCACTAGTTCCCTCCAAATTTCATTCACAATTTTCATGTTTTTCAAAATTTTCATTCAATCTTCCCTCTTTTATATAACGTTGGAGATGCAACATCTTCTCATAATTATAGATTTTTCGATTTCATGCTTGAAAACGCATGTGAGGTATGTCCATTATTTATCTTCTTTTCATTAATGGATTTGTGACTCCATTTTTATCTTATTAATTATAAACAGATGTCATATTTTAAGTTTTAACGATGTTTTTTTGTTCTGAATCTCTGCAGATTTCTTTTCTTCCGTGATATATCTCCAAAAAAGGATCCAAAGATTTATGATGTTTGCTTAAGTGACTTTCAATCAATGGGTATGAAGCTAGTTTTTGCAGGGGAAAATGACATAAAAGCCCTTAAGTTTTCACAAAAATGTCGGTTTTACCCTTGGACTTGTTTTATGTCCAGTAAAGCCCGAAGTTTTGTTTAATTTGTTCATTTTTACCCTTGTAGCCGGTTTCCAGGTAACCTACCGGTTACCTAGGTTACCTAATGCCAGTAAAGCCCTTGAATTTTCAAAAATGTTCGGATTTACCCTTAAGTTTTTCAAAAATGTATGAATTTACCCTTACATTGATTGTTATTATTATTATTATTATTATTATTATTATTACATTTTTAATTGTATAAAAATAGTTTATACATACATTTTTAAATGTATAAAAATATTTCATACGTTTTTAATACATTTTTATACATATTATTATTATTATTGTTATTATTATTATTATTTTATTATTATTATTATTATTATTATTATTAATACATTTTTAAATGTATAAAAATATTTTATACACACATTTTTAAATGTATAAAAATATTTTTACTAATATAAATATATTTTTAAAAATATATATACTTGTATTTAATATTTATATATACATTTGAAAGCCCGTGTATTCCTATAGAAATGTATTTATATATTAAAAATGTATTTATTTGTATTTAGTAGGTATAAGTATATATATATATATATATATATATATATATATATATATATATATATATATATATATATATATATATATATATTTCATATAAAAATATATTATATACATATAAATATAAAAATATGTATTTATATGGTGTATATTATATAAAAGATATAATTATATGTATTTGTACATATTACCAAGTATAAATATATATTTATTATCAAACATCATACTAAATAGATAAGCAAAATAAATATTCATTAATTAAAAACATAACGTAACAATTATAAAACCCTCGTAATTAGAAAACCTCAATAAAAACACTCGATTACAGATAAGATTTACTATAAAATTTGAAAAAATCTCTATTATTCAACTATATTAGGTTAATAGTTAGTAGATAACAATAAATGATCAACAAATAACACTCGTAAATGAAAAATATACAGAATATAATTCAAAAAAACCTCGACAAAAACACTTGATCACTGTAA